TGTCCGGTAGGGTCGACTGCTTTTCGAGCACTTGAACGGCATATTCTTGCAAGCCTTCACTCTTGAGGAATTCCACAAGGTCGGCCAGGACCTCCTCCGACAAAGCTTCTTGGTTGCTCAGAGCTTGGACGGCTGCCTCTCTGTCGAAGAGACAGATATTTTTGCCTTTGAGGAGCTTGACTAGGGCATATAGAATTCCCACAGGCAATCTTGGGTTCTTGCCGAGAGCTTCAGCGGCGATGCTTTGAGTCATCCATCCATCATCTTGGAGGAGACTCTCAAAGTCAGGCATAAGTATCGGCGACAAAGCCGCCTGCTTTCTTAGAGCTAGAGCGGCATGATAGCCTTCCATCTTCCTTGTAGGCATGAAGAAGCCCTTTAGGCTGGCCTCAATAGTCGTTGGTAACCTCGATTGCTCGCCTAGAGCTTGAGCGGCATCGTATTGTAGGTCCTGGTCTTTATCTTGGAAGGCTTCCATTAGAGCTTCTAATGTCGTCTCTGATAATAATGATTGTTTATGCAGAGCTTGGGCGGCATTGCGTCTTACGCAAACATCCTTATCCTTCAAAAGCTTCCCAACAAGTTCCACAGCCCCTTTTGACAACAAAGCACGCCATTTCAGGATACTTATGACCAGTGATGCTTCCGGACTTTTCCCACCCTTCAGTCGATTGATGATCGAGTCCTCGGCCGTCTTTCCTAACGTCCAAATCTTCCTCGGAGCGTCGTAAAGAGGTTTGCAGTTGTCTTCCTTCTGCATGAGTTTCAAAAGAATGGCTAGGGTTTCTCCCGAGACATGCCGTTGAGAAGCCATTAGAGGACGCAAGAAAACGAGCTTGTTGCCGGGGCTATTCAGGGCATCGTGCAAAACCGTGTCGGGAAGTCCGGGCTCCGTCATAAACGTCGACGACTTTGTCAACTCTCGCTCAGACAGCACACAACGTAACAGCTCATCTTCTCTTGGCTTCCGATACTTGGATGGCAGATGAACCAGTTCGCTCAAACAGCGCATGACCAGTTGCTGGTGGGCAACCTTTAGAGTGTCTCGCGGCTCGTTCCCCAAAGCGTCCAAGAAACCGACAACTTCGTGCTCCCCTTCCGCATACAAGAGTCCCGCAACGAATGGCCACATGAGGCCAAGTTGCTTGGAGTACTTATGGCTAGAAAGGAATTGTTGGGGGGAACTCCTGATGCAGCTTGCGTTTGGAGAGTTGCAACCCATATAGCAGAGGTGTCTCTTCGCTTTCCATTGATGAGCGTAATACTTCGCGGCGAAGAAGTGTTGCATTATCGGGTGAATGAACTGGGTGTCTTGGCCTGATGGCTTGGTAGAGCAGTCCGATGGCTTGAGGATGGAAGAATGCTGGAACAGCTCTTGGTCGGGCGATAGTTGGATACATCGGTGAACGGTGTCTTGATTTTCTGACTGAAGCGCGGCGAGATTGCTGCACACGCCGCCAAAGGCTATGGTCTCAAGAAGCTCGCTGCGTCTCGCGAGGGTGATGTCCGACTCAGACTCGGAGGGCGCTAGAAGCAACTCCTTCCGTCCCTCCTTCCGTCTCTCGAGATCCTTCCTCAATAGTCCTCGAGAAATGCGTCGATAGACATCGGTCAATGTGTCCGGAAGTGGGCTGTCTGCGAAAGTATCGTTCCAAACAAAGCAGAGGGCGTCCAACATGACCGGAATTCGAAGAAGGCCGTGGAGTAGCGGGATTCTCAGTAGAAGAGACAATATTCCGTCACGCACGGACCCCATCGCGTCGGCCATTATCAGATAGTCCAGGACATGATCATGACTCAAGCCAGTTGCCTCCAAGCAGACATCAGGCTCTTGGACATCATGCGGGACTGATATGTTCGGCCGGGTCGTGATAATGACGTCCGTATGGTTCAGTAACGCGAGGAGGAATTGATGTAAGTCGGCGTCGTGTTGCCTGTCAAGTAGGGCCAACGCTTCTTCGAGCCCGTCGAGGATCAAGAGGGCGTCACGGAACGTGGGATCGCCTGTACGGTCTTGCGGAGGGCCGACGGGAGAGGTGTCTGCCCGGTATTGCTGACGGTGAATATGGTGCAGAAACTCTACTAGACCGTACGCCGGACCCTTCCATGTTTGTAGGTATTGTAGCGGGAGCCAGACGATCCTAGGAAACAGGCCTCTCCACATCCCCTTCTTGTGAAAAGCGTGTACGATTTTCTTGCACAAGGTGGTCCTCCCCGCTCCTCGGTGAACGGAGATCAGTATTCTTCTTTTCGCGTACTCGAATAGTTTCGACAGTCCCACAGTGGAATCCCCGCTTGATGCAGGAATCCGGAGCGGAGAAGGAGAAGGAACCGGGTCCGAACTCTCTCGCCGCACCAAGTTGACATTACATTGGTCTACCGGCAGAAGATCGCCGCAAAGCCGTTTAACTTCCAGCGTCTCCTCAGTGTAATACGTGTTGCATATCCACGTGTCTAGCTTCTCGAGTGATTTGGTATCAAGACGCGGCGGGAAGCCGCGCCCATTTTCTTGGGCGTTGAGAGTCGCCGCCATTAGGAAACTCTGGATGGCCCGCGGAGCAGTGTTAGGGATGGCGAGAGTGATGGCTCGTTTGCAGGTCGGTCTAGGAGTGATGCGTTGCTTGCGGCGACTGCTGCAGACAGATGAGCGCAGTAGGATGGGCTCGAAAGAAGTTGAATCATGTCGGAGGGGTGGTGAAAGGGTCCTGGGACGTGTTATGTATCTTTCACCTGGCAGTGACATGGATGCCGAAGCGATTGGGAGTGACGGGTGTCGGCCTGAAGTCACGACGGTGGGAGCCGCCAAGTCCGCCAGGGCACTGCCTGAGACCACCCATCACCTTCGCATCACCGCAAGGATGGCGAGTTTTCGCCGATGTGTTGACAGCCTATAGGTGAGCCTTGCGTGTATCCTCCGCAGTCCGTACCGCCCGCAGTTCCAGGGGCCATGCCGTGCCAAACGAGGCGGCGTGGAGCACTGCCATCCCGTGGACACCTCTGCGACCTCCCTCGCAGGTTCCTGAGATGTGGAGGCAATAGCTCAGTCTCATTCCTGTACCTTTGAGCACTACGCGAGGCATGTATGTCGACTTTTCTAGGGTGTGGTGCCGTTAGGAGCGCAGTAGCGATGGTCTACACCCCTCGCGGGCCGCCGAGCATCCACAATTTCTAAGAAAGGGTTGGTGATTAGGTCTGCGGCAGTGTGGTAGTGCGGTGCCCATCAGACTCGACCGCTGCCGCCTGCGCTAGCGCAAACTCCGCTTGGTGCAGCAGTGGGCCTACTTGCCAGCTTGATTGTTTGCCAAACATGGGGGCTGTCGTTGGCCGATGATTCAATCCCGGCGCAAGGCCTGGAACGAGGGTCCTCCGCGATTGGCGAAGAACTGCCCCACACGCTCCCGCACTCGCCTTCGCCCAACCGAGGGCCACGGCGAAGCTCGCTCTCGACCGACCGCAGCCTCACGCATGTTGGAATCGTCGATGTTCGTGGAGAGTTGGCTCGCGTGTGACGCCGAAAACAGTCCAGTGCAGCCGACATGGGATGGACATAGCTGAGGAAGGTGAGACCAACATCTCCCAAGCAGGTGGGCGGTGTCGTAGCAACGGTTCGAAATGAATCATCAGTGGTTACAAAGCGAGGTATTAAGTCAAACTCTGTGCAGTAGAAACGGCTTGCTTGAGCTAAGTAGTGTGCTATCTATCTCGCGAAGCGAGCCTGCGAGAGGACCATGTCGTACTCCGCGGACACGAGGGCAGTGTCACAGGTGGTGCTGCGATGAGAGTGCATCGCATGACACTAGAGGCGTGCCTTGACTGGGTGCAACTCGACCGAAGGGTCCCCGATCTGGTTGTAGTAGCTTATAGAGCGGCTGGGAATTTCTGACTTCTCGTCTAAGGCTTTGGTCAGGGCCTCGAT